CTCACTTAGTAGCCCAGGCTGGCCTCGAACTCACAGAGATCCGCCTGGCTCTGCCTCCCGAGTGCTGGGATTAAAGGCGTGCGCCACCACCGCCCGGCCAGTGATTTTATTTCTTGTGAGGGCTTAAAATTGAAAAAGAAAAAGAAAAATTCGTTCCTCTTGCAAGTCTGTGATAGCCTTAGTTGCAGAAACGGTACAGAGGAAATCACACATCACATTTCGTTCGAGACAGAAATATTAGACAGTGATAGAAGGCGTGGGAGTGGGTGACTGGAGGTTTGAATTTGACTCTGAATGGTTGGTACTTTCCATGAACAGACATCCTTTTGGTTTTTAGACTATGCGGTATCATCTCTTGCAGATTGGTAGGTGGTTTTTGGTAGCTGTATCATAAAAGCCTTCTCCCAGGTTGGCTAGTTAGGATGGGAGGTGAGTGGCACTTGGGGTATTGCCCTAGGTTCCAAGTCTTTCATGCCCTCAGAAATCTTTGTAAGCATTAAGTACTGTGACTCCTCAAGATTCTGGAGGAAACTGGTTTGCCCTTGATGTTTTGGCAATGAGCTACTTATTTTATTTGCCCAAGGACCACAGCTCCCTGACTGGGATTCTAGTCAGTTTTGTGTGTCTCTGAAAAGAAACCAACCTCTTCATGTCCAGCTGAGTTCTGTGTGATCGGTGTTCCTTTGAGGCAGTAGGGTGGGGGCAGTAGGCTTTTCAGTAAACAAGAGATGTGGGATTGTTTGCGAAATGTCTGGACTTAATGCAGGACTCCACCAAGGAAGAGGCTTCGTCCACTCCACTCTTGTTGCTCGTAATCAGAAAAGTAAAGGTTGGGATGTTCTAGCATCGGAATTCAAAGCAGCAAGACCAGGGACCTGGGGTCACAGTCAGTGTAAGGAGGGTCAGAGTAACTAGGGGACCTGCCACTCACTTTCTCCATTTCCCTAACGGAAACACAGCACCAGGGTAGCCGATGCTGACTCATGCCGCAGGTACGTACACCTCTTTTTCGATGACAGTGGTTACTGTGTGCCGGGCATTGTGCAAGCTTTACTGACGGGCAGGAAAATATAGTTCTTAGACTTGTGAGACTTGCCAGAAATCTCTGAAACTGAGTCAAAGTGAGGATTTTCTCTTTATGTGGTAACTATCTCACCTACTTAGAACAGTTATGGAATCTCTCTCTCTCTCTCTCTCTCTCTCTCTCTCTCTCTCTCTCTCTCTCTCTCTCTCTCATACACGCACACATAAGCACACATGAACAAACACAGATGCATGCACGCATGCACGAATGTACATGTGCTGGCATAGGTGGAACTGAATTCCTCTATACGCCATGGATTGTTTAATCTGTAGAATCATAGATTTTTCCCCCCCAGACTTTGACTTTGACTCCATGGGCAAGATTTGGTGCATCAAGCTAAATGTCAAGGGCTCTATTCTATTACAAATGTTAAATAATTATGTTTTATGGGAGCTAAAATTTGTTGCCTTAAAATTTATTCATTATATGGCATTGAAGTTTGGCAAATTGGTGACTATTTTAAGAGATATGAAACATGGCTAGTCTGCTTTTTGTTTATGTGTAGGAGAGTTTTAAAACTTTCTTTGAAAGGTGGAATTGGTTTGTTTGAGGGCTTAAGTTTAAATTTGTATTATTCTTTGTCTAGGGACACCAGTTGAAGCAGAAACCTAACCATGCATCGTGGAGAATTACTCTTAGTATTCTTTGTTCTCACTGTTACAAGTGCCTCAAGTAAGTGATTTATAAACATTTGCAAATAGACTCCATTAGAAAGCTAGAGGGAAATTGTGGAGTTTTTTTTTTTTTTTTTCCTTTATAGCTGATACGGTTACTGAAAATGTTGAATTTATTTAACATTTCATGACTTCAAATTTTACTTTAGAAGATTGGGAAATATTTGGTGTTCCTGGGCTAGAGAATGGAAGAGTGTCAGGAATGGGCCAACTAAAGGTGTGCAGAGCACACTACAGAGAGGCAGGGGCGTATCAACGACTCTTTAGAAGAAAATTGCTTCATTTCATTTGAAATAGAAGAAGAAAACAATTGTCTTTTTTATGGGTTTTGGGCAATTTTACACATTTTCTCTTTCCGGAGAGGATAGCAAGGATTCATTCATCTTTAAAAGGAAATTCAAAAGAAAGTAAATAGAAAAATCCTTCACCAAGTGCTAGAAAATATAAGAAATAGACAGGCTGGATTAGAAGCTACAGCAGGCCTGAGAGCAGACCAAATGTCAACTTTCATTTATTAGCTGTAGTCATTTGGTGCTCTTCTCCTCATGGTGAAGGGCTTGAAGGTCCTATTCTTAGAGAGAAGTTCCACAGCTGAGGACCATTTGCACAGGACTTGGAGGAGAAAGGGAGCAAGCCAGTTAATTTATTTCAGAATGTTACCCACCAAAGGGAACACTGGGGCTCATATCCCTTACTTTGGGAACCACTGTGAAAAGAAAACAGAGATTAGCTTTTGATGCTGTCACATACTACAAGTCTATTCTGGAGGTGTGCTTGTGAATGGACCCAAGCATTGTTGGAATGCTACCTACCACCCAGTGCAGTGCTACCCAGATGTTGAAGACTGTTCATCCTTCTTTTTTTCAGTATGAAATGATTTGTTGGGGAGTACTGAGAAAAACGGCCAAGTACAGGAAGATATGTGTCATGTATTCCATGCTCCATAGATAAATGTCATTTAATGCTAATTGCCATGAAACAACCTTGGCACAAAACCAGCTCTGCAGCCGGTCTGGTCTGGAGCTCAGGTTCTAGCTCCCTGTTCCTCTGGGGGCTTAGAGAACACCTTTCAGGAATGGGAATTGTAGCCATATGCAGCAATATTTATATGTGTAATTCATCTGACTTGTTGGTGCTGGCCTTACACAGTTGTCCACTTCGGACACTATAAACCACTGACTTTGGCCATGGAAGAACTGAACTGTCTGTTCACAGTCCACATACTTTGACCTCTGTCCATTTATATAACCAAAGACCATTTCTAAAGAGCATCATATTAATCAACAAGGCAAGTCTGTAATGCTAAACGTAAGAAAAGGCATCTTAAAGACATGAGGTTCCTTGTAATTATAGATTTTCAACTCCCCACCACCCATTATTTTGTTTTTCAAATCAAGTTCATCTGAAAGAGGAATTCATGAATTTATCAATCTAAGCACAAGTATTTATGTTTATAGAAGTTTTTTTTTTCTTTTAGTGAATCAACACTTGGACACCTAAAGTAGCTTCAGATATCCAATAGATTCTTTTACAATAATCCAAATTCCCAACATGCATACAATGAATAGTTAGACCACAGTATGGCTGAGCACCACATAAGAATGAGGAAAGAACACATTACTGCTACATGTAGGAAACTGAATGGCCAATGTAGAGTTGCCGTGAAAAAGGAGAGAAGCACAGGAGAGTACTGTATGAGCTGTACACTTGATTACACATGACTCTGTAAAGCAGGAAAGTTACTGACGTGTTAAGGACTTACTCTTGTTTTGACTGTCAAGGAAAAACTGCATTGGGGAATTGAAATGTAAAATAGATGATGTTACAACCACCAGCAAGAAGCTGTTCTGTGTTGTTCATGTGCTTTGAAGTAGATCTGACATTTGAGACACTTCCTCCTTCTACTGTGGTTAGTGTCGTGTTAAAGCCAGAATGTTGCTCAGAGCAATAAACTCTAACTACTGAGACAACATTTTGTATATGGTCTGAAGGAAATAGTCCATTTACTTAAGAGATTGTAATTTTCTAAATGAAGATTAAGGGCATTCCAAGCCACAAGGGTACAGGCTTGAGAACTGTTTATTAATTCCAATTTAGAATGGAGGTCCATTCTGTGTAGATGGAAAAAAAATAGTTAAAATTTTAAAGACCGTATCTGAGCTGAGAAACAGGGTGATGGAAAGAGAAAGAGATCCAGTATCAGGAGCGGTCTACATTAATCAGTTCTTGGTTAGTTACATGGAAACATGTTACAGGGACTCCGCTACCCAAGAGCTCTTGTTATGTCTCCCGAACCTTCCTAAAATCGAGTAGACAGACTGGTTGGGCACAAGGGACATGAGACTTGTTGTGACATAGATGAAGAATGCACACATAGATTTCTTGTCTTTTCCATGGAGAGTCCCCAGTGGTGACATTTGGGGGCAATGTGGTGACGCTGACTTCTGTGTCTTTCTTTAACAGTAAGTTGTAAAGCATCATGCTTTTAAGATGTGGCCACAGCGCATTGTCTTGAGGGAGGAAGGCTGGCTACGATCTCACAGCTAGCTTGCTGTCTAGGGAGGCATCTGTTTTATCTTCATTCCTCTTCTGAAAGTGTCTTATCTCTAGGAAGTCTTCTTTCAGACAAATGCCAGCACAGGCATGTGATGCTGAGATTCCTTGTAGCTTTCTCACTCATCTTACATTTCCTGGAAGGGTGAAAAAATCACATCTGTCCTGTTTTGTCTCCCTTTCCTTGACTAACCTGCTGTAGAAGATTGCATTAGCCGCCCCCAAGTTCATGCAATGGAGGGAGAACCTTTTTATTTGAAGTTCTGTGAAACATCTTCACCCGTGTACAAGAATGAAACAGCCACTATAAGATGGTTCAAACATGATGCTTTCCATCAACGTGTGGAGCTGAACACTGAAAGTTCATCCAGAATTACTTTCAATGGTTATGATTTGGAATTCTGGCCAGTTGAGCTGGAGGACAAGGGAACATACAGTTCCCAAGTGAGGTGAGTAAACCATTTTGTTTCAACATTATTTTCTAGCACTCTTGGCTTTGGCTCAGCAACCCAAACACACATTGCTCTGCTCTTACTTCAACAGGAAACAAACATTTCATTGTAGAAAAATTGAGCCAATCACTTTGCATTTATCTTCTTAGTGACCTTAGTGAATGATTATATTAATGATTAATCCTTTTAGGGGATCCCAATTAATGATAAGTAGAGGTGGGATTCAGGCATGTTTTAAAGTTCTGTAGCAAGGATTTCAGGATGATACGGCACTTAAGAAAGGAGCAGCAGGGGCAGCCTCCCACATGGGCTCATGAGACTTTAGAGAAAGGGCAGGATTTATGGAATAACCCTTGTCTAGTTTTCAGAGGTTACTGGGAAAAAAGAAGCAGGGTTATTGGGGAAAAGGTATCATTGTTACCCAGCCACAAGCTAATAGCCAAAGTCAGTGAGAGAGAGAGAGAGAGAGAGAGAGAGAGAGAGAGAGAGAGAGAGAGAGAGAGAGAATGCCTGTACATATTTATGCATGTAGAGACACATGCACACATGGGTAGGTAAACATCTTTTATTTATAAAGATGTGACATTGTCCTGTAAAAACTCACTGAGGGCTAGCTGGGTGGTACCCACTGTGCTGTGAGATGTCGAAGATTTCTTCGAGAAAGCTCTCTTTAGTCTAGGGTGAGTCCTGATCATTATCAGTGCTCCTTAGAGAGAAGTGAGATTTCACAGCAAAGTCTCTTTTTCACTCCTGTGGTTTTTCACAAAATGAGGTCATAGATGTTTATTAGACACAGAAGCCTCCTAGCCTCAGAAATAAGTTGTAGAATTGTTGTTTTTTAAACAGTGCAGTTCATATGACATTTTAAGAGAGATAATTACAATAAATTGGTTGCAACTGGATCTTTCTAGAGCAAGCTAAAAAGATGAACGGAGAAGCAAAACAACTCATGTCCTCCCTGTTTTAGTTGCATAAACATGACTTAAAGACACAGGTATCCTGGATAAGGTGGAAGGAGCCATTTGAGGGGAAGAGGCATCTATGGTCATCATGGGGAGTAGATTGAGACAGAGGGAGTTTGCTCTCCATTTTTCTGATGTGGAGGGCAGAGAGCACAGTCTGGGCTAGGAAGCAACAGAAGGATGAGAGAGCATCATGGAGACACAAGAAGAGTTGAGAGACAACCCCTGAAGTATGTTGGAAGGTGGTGAGTCAGATGAGCACGACCTCATGACAAGGAAGAGGCTTTGACAATGGCTTTGAGGGTAATCGAGCTTCCACGTGCAAGCAGAAGCCTTGAGCATCTTCAGATACAATGCAAGAAGAAGACGAACCCCATGTCTGTGCGACAATCAAAGAAGGAAATCAGTGCAGACGAGATGGCCCGGTGTGTTTGAGAGCACTGGAGGCTGGAGAGAGGGAGCTTAGTGGTTAAGAAAATGCATTGCTGTTGGAGAAGACCTGAGTTCAGTTTCCAGCACCCATGTTGGGTGACTCCTAACCACCTGTAACTCCAGATCTAGGCACCAACACCCTCTTCTGGGCTGTGCAGGCACTGATACCTCTATATGCACAGGCATACATGCTTGCCTACACATAGAATTTTAAAAATTGAAAGCTTTTAAAAAGGGAAGAAAATCAACTAAGAAGGAAGGTCATACGGAAGAGACAATTTTCTGTGATAGAGGTGGGTAAATGAAGGAAGGAGCCTGAGACTGAGGCACAAAAAGCCTATCTTGGAGCCAGAGAGAAGAAAATAGCAGTCTCTCTCTCTCTCTCTCTCTCTCTCTCTCTCTCTCTCTCTCTCTCTCTCTCTCTCTCCTCTCTTTTATCTCTCCCTCTCCTTTATTTTCTTCTTTCATCTTGTTTTAGCTTGCTGCTGTGGGTACTCAATATTATGTACGTTAGGCAAGTGTTCTACAACTAAGCAATCAGTCTTTAAGCTTTTTTTACCCACACAGCACTCAAACAGAGGGGCCACTGTAATCAGAATGGCTACAGGGAAGCGGGGATCCTAGATTTTGACTCCCCTGGTCTCAACTTCACGCCCGCTGGTCTTTGTGCTCACTCTTTGCCAGCAAGTGCAGAGTGTTGCTTGGTTCTGCATTACTAAGGGCTTCCTGAGCCCAGCAGGTACTGTCAAGGTTTGCTGAGTGTTAGGAATTGAGAATCACAGAGGTAGAAAACAATGTGGTCTGCCAAGAGGAATCTTAAGAAGAGGACTCTGCCAAGGGGAATGTGAACCCCTTTAAAGGCCAAGCTCTGTTGTGCTCTATGGCCACCCACTCACTCACTGCTTTTCAGCATATGCCAGTCAGTTACCCTCTCTAGCCCTGGCTGGTTTCCTCTATGTTCAACATAAGGTAAAGACTAAGTCTTCATGGAGTGGGAAAATGTAGTATTATGCCAACCTCTCCTGCCTCTTAGGGTTAAACCAATGTGCATTTTACATCCTTGTCCCATCCAGTACAACACACACACACACACACACACACACACACACACACACACACACACACACACACCTGTATGACCATGGGCAAGTTACTTGGTTCCTTGAAGACTTGCCTTTCTCATCTGAACATGAGGGAAATGGTCAGTCTCCCCTGCATACACACATTGTAAAATATCTGGGAGTCGGTGAGTAACAGACTACTTCATTCTCTTCTATCCAGCTTGTCATAGTTGTAAAGGGGACCTGGGAAAGCCCAGGGGTACATGTTTTCCAGGTCACAGGACACTTTAACAGCGTGATTGCTGTTTTTAGGATGTGCACTGATATATCCTATGCATGGTGTGAACGAACACAAAATTGCCAATGTTTTAACTTTTTAAGACTGTTGTTTAAAAATATGCCATTTATTACCATCTTCAAGATGGCTGATTTCTGAGATGAGAAATCAGAGGCAAAAGAGAAACTGAAGTTCACCTTGCTCAGTTGGGCAAGGGCTGTGCCAGCCTCCAGTTTATTCAATGGTAAGGAGAAAGACCACAGAATATACTACCCTGAGAAAAGGAACACACAGTGCCTATGCACACACATTGAGGAGACCAGGTCAGCAGTTCTGTTGAAACTCAGGTTACCCTTCTAGCCTGGTCTGTGATTCTCTGAATTTGTCCACTGAATATAAAGTTTAAATCATTTGTTGCTCTACTATCCATGTCATATGGATGGCTGTATGTAGTATGTTTGGTATGTATGTGTGGTGTGTGTATGTCATATGCATATGTGTGTGTGTGTGTTGTGATGGTGAGTGTATGTCTAGACTGCTCTGGAGTGTAATCTTTCACTCCGTGCCAATTGTAAACTTTCTGATCTGAGCTAAGGGGTGGCAGAGAAAAGTTTATACATCAGTGAATAAATCTCTTCATATAGAAATTAGGGTAAAACTAGAAGATTGGAAGTAGTTGCAAAACTTCTCTAGTAATTATCAAGTCTCTCTGTACCTTTGTTTCATAGAAATGATAATCAAAGTTGGACCCTAACTGTCATCCAAAGAAAAGAACACAGCTGTTTTTCTGAAAAACTTGTGACAAATAAAAAAGTGGAAGTCAAGAAAGCTTTGAAAGTAACATGTGAAAATCCTAACTACAGTGAGCTGATCAACCACACATCACTATATAAGGTAACAAGTTGAAAGCACTTCCACTTAAGACTCCATAGGAAATATAGCAATCCACACAGAGGATAGGAAGACTGTGGACCACTTTGCCCTCATCAAAAGCAAGTGGTCCAACTCCCCATGGCTTTACCTGTGGGAGAAACTGTCCCATAAGTTTGCTGTAAAGTGCCGATTTGTGCAATGTGTGTAGCATGGTAGCCACCCCGTATTGTAGTAGGTCTTCAGTACACGACGACGACAGCTTCTTCTCTACGGCTCTTCCTTCATTTTCCTTCTATTAAAAAAACAAAAACAAAAACAAAAACAAAAAAAACCCAAAACATTTCTGGGAATGTTAGTTTAGCGTTTTTCATTTTGTTTTGCTACATCCATTCAAACACAATTGCATGTTTTCTGAATATATGAGTTCATTTTATAAAGCTGGAAGACAGAAAATGAAAAAAAAAGTGAAAAATCACCCCTAGTCCCACAGCTGTATTTGTTTCGTGACCTAGATAAACATCTTTCTGTAAAAGTGACTTGTTTGATGGTCTTTTTTTTTTCCTGATTGAAATGATGTGGTTATTCACCCATACCTTTCAAACAGGGAACTGCATTTTGTATGGATTTGATTTAAACTAACTGATCTTATTGTTATAGACATGTGCAAGTTTCCTGTGTCCTACTGTTATTTGCATATCACAATGAATGATATTTATATAAATTTTTGGGTGCTTATTTGATTAACCCTTCATGAAAATCACTAGATGTAGGATTACAGGACCAGGGAGAAGTTAATTGATTGGCTTTTGATATACATTACCTAACTCTGCTTCCCCTCTCCCTTACACTATCCCAACATGGGAAACAATACTTTCAGAAAGTTAAAAATCTGACAGCAAACGTTTCAGAAACTCAGCATTTATTCCTGTCATTCTCTTAGAAATGATAAGTGTGTGAACTAAATTATAGTAGGACTTCTTTTGTGGATAGCCTGTGTGTTTTCTGTTTGCTTAATTGATGGGCCTTTTCCTTATTGGGTTGTAAGAGCTCTTTGAAAAGGTGCCATGGGGGAGCTATTCATACTTGTGTCTCATATATATCACATATAAAATTGTGTATGTATTCACATACATGAACACATGCAACATGATCTATATTGTGTGTGTAGAAGAGCAAATCTGAGCTGCTGACCCCATCAAAAATCTGGACAGGGGAACTCCAGCAAGCTGAGCCATTGATGATTTCCTTGAAGTGTGCTGGTAGCTCTTGCCGTAACAGTGTTAATGTGTGAGTTGTCAAGCAGACTTCTTATCTGAAATGTTTTCTAAACATACAATTCAGTCTTGGGTTGACTTGCCTTCTTTTCCTGTCAAATATACACACTTTGCGGTACATGTAAATTAGGGAGGCTTGATTGCTGGGTTTTAGGAAACCCCAATATACAGATACCTAAATTTAGAAGATGTATGTTCTGGGTCTATTTACGGCTGAAGAGCTGACCACAAGACCAAGCATGCTCAGCTTGTGGGCTGTCCCTGACCTTATTGAGGGGAATGGTGCAGGACAGGCGAATCAGAAAAGGTCTGGTTGGGACTGCAAATGAAGACCTTCTGGCGTTTTGTCTACATTGGAAACAATTTGCTTAGGTTTAAAGGATTCTACTTATATTCAGAAACACTTTGCTGATATGAGGTACACATGAGCACTTTGCATGACATTTGGCTGATGGCTTGGGCCTAGCTTCAGAGGCCACCAGCAGTGGTCAGCATGAGGCAAAGTCTGTGGGCATTAGATTCTCCTTGTTAGGCATGTGGAGGAACAGTGTCACATGGTCAAAGTTAGCCAGTTAGATTTCCTTTTCTCACAGCGTCTACACTTGTCAGAATCTACCAGTGGATGACTGAAGGCTAGTTTGTAGACAGTGGCTTTACTATTGTTATTATTGATTCCTGTGATATATGTGGAAAGAAATGTGGAAAGATTGAAGTATGCCTAAGGATTTGGTCATCTATGCCCTTTGGTACAGGACATCAAGAATCCAGAGTGGGCAACTTCTACTCAGCCCTCTGGGTCATTCTGTCCACGTTTCCATGGTCCAACCCCTTCAATACAGAATTGGACCCAGAGTGATCATGCAGTATAGTTGCATTTCATAGAACACCTTTCACCTAAGCAGGACTTTGTTATTCGAGTCTCTGTCTCTGTTTCTGTTTGTCTGTCTCTCTCTTTGTATGTGTGTGAACAATAGATCAAGATAAAATGATAATAGCGGTGGTAAGGCCCCTCTCTTCATTAGTGGTAATGATGATAACAGAGCACATCACTGCTCCAGTAGAAGGAGGACGAGTTGCTGGGACATGTGCTTCTGGGTCTCTGGTTTTCTGTTTTGTTTCCCTTTATCTCTAAAGATCTTGGAAATGTGAATGATTTTGATAAGAATACTGCCCTTCCTAACTTAAAGTATTTTTCACTTGCCTTTAAAAAACCAGAACTGCAAGGAAGTCATCAATCCCCCAATGATCCAGAAGGATGCTGAATTTGGAGATGCGGGTTATTACTCTTGTGTGTTTTCTGTCCTTCATAATGGGAAACAGTACAACATCACCAAGACCACCAATATAACAGTTATTCAAGGTAAGAGAAAGTTTTTGGAAGAGATAAGTGCATATGAGAAAAGCAGAAGCTTTCTTTCATTGTGAAGTTACTTGGGGATGGAGAGGGTATCTCCTTGGGGTTGAGAATATCGTTGTTTTAACTTTGGCACAGTGGCTGTGTCCTAATCTATTGCTATCTCAGTCAGCAATTGCAACTCCGCAGTTACCAGCCTGCTTCTCTAGCAGTGGCCTGGCTGCTCAGGTGGCAACCTGGCAAGAATTCTGCTCCTGCAGGTACCGACCCTATCGCTGCTGCTAAAGGTAGCTTTAACTAAATCTCTTTCATTCTTCTTACGAATAAGACTTGAGATTTGAAGGCTGGGGTGAAAACCTGTGAGCTCAGAGAGGCTGAGTTACAACTAGCTAGCTAACCCTCTCTGCTTGCTGGTATCCACAGAAGACCCTTCCTTCCATTTTACCAAACCAGAAAAACCTATACCACTCCAAATCCCATCCTACTATTTCCTGTGTCTCTCTGTCTCTCCCAGATGCCCTCTGAGGCTCTATGATTACTCTCTATCAACTAGTTGCTAATGAAGCCTCTTGACCCAAGATTAATTTTATTTAATTAATGCAAATACAAACTCAGGGTTCACAGTGTGGTTGAATATCTCCCGGCAGAATACAACACTACTTCAAATCTTAGGTTTAAAATCTTTATTGGGCTCCCACCAAACTGGCTAAAAACATATTCTCTTTAGGAGCAGATGAAAATTTACATGGGTGAACCTTTCATAAGTCAGCTTGTTCTTGTTTAGAATTAGAGTAAACTGTAGAGTCTTGTTAAGCTTACATTTTCGCTTAACAAATATTTATTGTGATTACAAATATTTATTGGTGGCTATATTCAATAAGCTGTACTTAGTATCCAGGGGCAAAGGACACAAGAAATGTCCTACAGTGAGGAATACAGTGTACTCAAGAAGTTTTATAAGGATCTGGAGAGACAGTAAGCACAAAAGCTGCAACTATATGAATGAGATTGTCAGAGAAGCTTAGGATGTGATGTGTAGTTGAAAGAAAGACAAATGGTGAAGACTTTGTCAGATCTGGATCTGGGAGGGACAGCATCATGAAGGGGCAGAGCACACAGACAGAACAGCTGTCCCAGTGGCAAAGCAAGGTCACAGAGTGGTAGTTGGAGGGGGAGTATTGTATGTAGCCTGATTTGCCCTGAGCCCAGAGACCAAAGAAAGAGCTAGAATTCTATTGTAGTAGTGACCCGAGAGGTAGTTTAATTGAACCACACCCCATGGAGATATCCTTCAATGGCACAGACAATAACTCAACATCAGTCCCTTCTTGGGAACTTACAGGGAAAGTATCAAAATCACAACACAGCTAAGTACAGATTTCAATATATGAGCGTGGGACAATATTTGTTTTTTTCCCTAGAGTCCATTTTGCCTTCTTTAGCTTTTACTGACTGCTTTTCATTTACTGTCAAAAACTTCACAGATTATCTGTTCCCTTCCTGTATGAAAGTTCCTCCAGTTGTTCGAAGATCTGTGGTATGACCATGACCATAATTATGACCTTCTCCACCATCACCCCCCTAAACCAGAAAACCAGTGTCGATGACACATTTAACCAGATCCAGAGGCTCACAGATGCTCCAACACGTCTACTCCAGTGACGTCTTTCTTCAGCACTTCACCTTAAGCTTGCATTGCTGCCCATGTGCTGTGATTACAGCAAACCATCCCAAGATGGTTTTTGATACTTCATCTTCAAAACCAAACACACACTCTCTGCCAGCCTTTCTCTTTTTTTCCTTCTTCTCATTCTTCTTCTCCCCCAAATCCCCACACCCATTCCATCATTACATGCATTTCCCTGAGTCTGACCTTTCTGACTTTCTTTGAGAACACATTAACAGCCCACTTATATAGTACAAGATAATTTCCCTTTCTCCAAGTCCTTAAGTAATCACAGCTACAAAATTCTTTTGGCCATATTCTTCTGCTAGAATAGAGTGTCATGGACTGAGTAAATTAGAAACCATAGAAGTTTATTTGGCTGGCCATTCTGGAAAATCTCAGATCAAAGGGCCACCCATGAGTGTATATCTATGATGTGCTGTGTGGTTCAGGACACTGGATGTCTTTCTCTATTACCCTGCCCATTGCTTTGAGATAGGATCTTTAGCCAAACAAGGAGTTTACTAATATGGCTAGACTAACTGGCTGGGGAGCTTCTAAGATCTGCCTGTCTCTTCCCCAAGTGCTGGGGTTACAGGTATCTACACTCATGCTCAGCTTGCTACATGGGTTTTAGAGATTCAAACCCAGGTCCTATTCTAGTGCATTAAGTTCTCCCACTCACTTTTGTTCCTTGAAGAAATGATAAGAATCTTCATCATTAACATACACACTCTCCAGGGACGGCACCTTCTTTCTGCTCTAGTAGGAACATCTCATACATTCTTCCTCATTGTTTCTGTGATGTTTTGACCTTGGGCAAATTATTATCTAGCTTCTTTCTGCCTTGGGTTCCCTCAGTCCATGGGTCAATGGTGGCTTTTGGTGCTCTCTGGTTATCATCTGCAGTAGGCTGTGCACATTAACACAATGTATGAGGGGGCTCCTGCAAGTGTCATACAGGGAAGTGAACCCCAGGAAGAGATAAGAATGAAAACTTGGTGCAGATTGACTTCAACCTGTATCAAACTTCTTCAGTTCTTCAGAGAGGTTAATAACAGGCATTTTTTGTTTTTTGCTTTTTTTGTTTTTTTTTCCCCAATGTATTTAAGCCTCTGGCTCTCAGGGCCAGTTAGGTTACTAGCCACCTCCGGTCTTGGTTGTAAGAGCTTGATATGGCCTGGCCCAACAGATAACATATATCACTAGGCTGTTAATCACTTAAAATTCTCAGCTTTCTGAATAGAAGAACATGTTTTTTTTTATTTTTTTTATTTTATTTTATTTTATTTTATTTTTTTCATCTTTCCTATTGGAAAGACAATCCTGTATGCTTAACATTCCTAGTTTCTCTGGAGATCAGTGGGTACAAGGATTTCATGCAATGCTCCTGACAAGTGTGTAAGCTTCTGGGAAAAGCTTTCCTTCCTAAGTAAGGAGACTAAGGAGAAGCTTGTATACTTTTGGTTAGGACCAGAAATCACTAGGAATAGTAATGGTTCTGGGCCTACAGGTTTGTACAGCAGGGGCGGATAGAGTCAGGTAAAGCATCCAGGGCATGGTTATGGCTAGAGACTCCTACATCCTCAAGGGTAGGACTGGTGCCTGGGAGAGATGCCTCACATCACTCATCCTAGTCTTACCATATTCTGTTAAATCCATCAGTGAGAGATCGAGGAAGGCAGATGGAGGGAAGTGATGTAGAGTAGGAAGGTCCATCTCAGTGCCTGTCCCTCTTCAATGTCCTAAACATTTGGTCCTCTCAGTACCTGGCAGCAGTCTCCCTGGATGAGCATGTTTTTCTGACTTCATCTTCACTGGGCAGAAGTCAATGTTCGACTTCAAAAGATACTAGATGGAAGGGGCTTTCAACAGTGCTGTGAAGATACAAGTCACGGAAAATGAAGCTGGGTTAATCAAAGCATGCCACAAGTAAATATATAGCAAAGACTGCAGTTGCCCACAGATACAACTCGACTTGGCGGGTACTTGCCATCATGAGTGCAACCAAACCTGATGTGTGCTCTGTTTCTGTATACATACATGCCTATAGTAAAATTCAGTTTATAATTAGACACAACAAGACATTAGCAACAATAATTAATAATAAAACTTAACAATATGCTGCAACAAAATTGTCAGTATCACTACTTGCTTTGTGGCCATGATGAAAGAGTAACTGATACTTGAACCTAAATATCACAATACCATGATAATTGGGCTGGTAGTATATAATGAATGAATGCAGTGAGCAAGGGGGTAATTCATGGCCTGGTTTGGATGGAGTGGGATGTAAAAACTTAAGAATAGTGTGCAATTTAAAAATTACAAGTTGATTATTTTAAAGTTTATTTTCCTATTTAACATTTTGGGGCCACAGTTGGCTTACAGTAACTTAAACTGAAGAAAATATAATCATGGGTAAGTGAGAGGTGCTATGTTGGAATCTTTATCACATGAAATGACCATGTTACAATGTATGTGTGTCCTAGATAAACTCAAGGTAATTGTAATGTTTTGTTCATTTGTTTGCTTTGCTTTGATTTTAGGGAACAGTAAAATAACTCCGGCTATTTTGGGACGAAAGTTTGAGACTGTGGAAGTAGAACTAGGTATGTTTTACAATGTGTGTTTTCTGAATTTGTAAATGGAGCCATTATTGAATTTTCAAGGACTGAATCTGCTCCCTGGGTTGTTTGATACAGCCCATTATATACCTATTGGAGAATATTACAAAATGAGGAAAAGCATGTCATTGTTTGACTATTGCTACTTTTAGACTAGTTAAATTACATTTCCGTTCAAAAGTCAGTGGGACTGTCTGTGGTTTGTAGACTAGGGTCTCTGCCGTGTCTTTTCTAATTTTCTTTATTGACCTTTCAAGGTAGGAAAATTTTGTGGAGGTATGATTCAAACTTGTTCCATAGTTTGAATATTTGGCCATGGATGGAATTGGCTGTACTTTTAGGATTTGTCTAGGCAACTGGTTCTCAACCTTCCTAATGCCATGACCCTTTAATACAGTTCCTCATGTTGTGGTTACCACTGAACCATAAAACTGCTTTCATTGTTGCTTCATAACTACAATTTTTCTACTGTTATCTAATGTACAGGATGGTCCGAAGGAGTCATGACCCATAGATTGAGAACCACTGGTCTAGACAGATCTTAAGAATCAGTGTGCACAATTAGGTAATTTCTTTCAAAAATAAAAGCAAAAAGGAATGAAATAAATTTGCATATTCTAAACCAGATATTGAGCTAAGTGGTTTGAGAATTTTGAGATGCATTCTCCAACCAAGGTAGAGGGATAGTGTCTCCATGGTATGGGTGGAATAACTGTCACACAGGTCAAGTACCCATAATTATCTCAGTCTGCTGAGAACTTAGCTGGGGTGGCTGGATGTGCTATATCCAATGCACCTTGCATTTAAATAACTGGGCTTGGAGAGAATACTGCAGTTATGTTGAATGCAGACTTGCTTTGCTGCTAGAACACATGAGTTGAGACCACATATGAGACTGTATAAGGGAATGTAGGGCCCCTGAAAATCTTGACAAAAGTAATAGGTTTCTGAATACACAATGGAAGAAAATTTGAAATCAAAGGCATGAAGGAGCCAATCGTTTCCAGGAGCGATCACCAGAGTTGTTTTGTACAACTCCACTGCAGCCTCAGCTCTGAACACACAATGTGCACACTGTGCATGACCGCATGGAAGAGGACTGAAATACCTTGTCCCAGGTTCAAGCCTTGCATGTGTTAGGAGGCACAATCTTTTTACTGTGCATATAAAAGTTTCTGGTCTTAATTACAGAAGACAAAAGTCTTTAGTGTTTCCCTCTTGATATTTCTCAGCTTGTATCACACTGCTGAACCTTTGGGGTATATTGTGTCAGAGTGTTTTGTTTTAAAATTGGCTGTTTGAGTTGCAGACTTGAATTTTATTTTAAAAAAATTGTCGGAGGAATTTTAAATTTTAGTTTAGGATCAGGATAGAATTGCTGGAATGACCCTAAATATACTTCTGTCATTTGTATTACATATTTATGTAAAATGGTCTCAGCTTTGATGGTTATAAAATCAAAATTTGAACATTTCAAAATAATGTTGAAGATTTTTCACATCACAAATTACCAATCATTCAGCCAATATTTAATTCCTTACATAAAAACAAAACAAGCATACCATTCATTAGCATGCTTTTGTCTTTAATAAATGGTAAAATTATGTGCATAACAAAGAATCACTTTAAAATAAATTTCCTCATGTCTTACTTTCAGTCAATGCTTAATTTATATACTAGACTTGTACACTCAAGTCACCACAAAAATGTGTTGGCTGCAAGGGAGCAGTGAATGGAGGAAGTTTAGGACATCCTGATAGAGCAATGCTTGCTCTCATGTGGTCTATGGGCCCATGGGAAATGTCACCAAGTCTCTGCAGCTTCATGCTAGCCAAGCTCTTCCTGATATTCCTGTGAGCTGGGCAGCTGCCCCCAGACCCTCCAGGACTGGACTATGCTTTATGAGACTGCTCCTCATTTCAATTCCAGGATACTCCGTGGAAATACGATGACTGCTCATGTTTACTGACATGGAAGGGATCCTTCCTAACCACACTTTTAGTTTCGACATTTCTCATTCTTTTCCCTGGGCTGCAATCCCTTTCCTTTTTTAAGTAGTTGGTTTGGATGCTATACCCATTTTGTTTTCTTAGTAGTTCAAGAGAGACATTAGTTTGACACTGTCTACTAAATTGAAGATTGAAAAAAATCTACTGACCCCCTAAATTTTAATCATTGATCTAATAGTGAATATTTAAATAGAAGTTAGTTTATTGCTTGATGAAGACTTGTCATTGCTACATAATTCTTCTCCTTAATTGTAATTTTTAAAAATCTAAAATGAAGCATCTCTTCCATTTTTTCTGGATGTGGTGTTATTTTTACACTCAATTATCATACATTGACTGTATTTGAAACTTTTATTGTATTTCTAAATTCGAAACTGAGATTGTCCATTTCTACCTAGGAAAAGATGTGGCACTTAACTGCACCGCTTTACTGAATGAAAATGATATGTTTTATTGGAACTTCCTGAGCAACAATTCAGACCCTAATGTGCATGAAGATGTGAACAAGACAGCTTGGTATGTGTATGTGACATGTAAGAGATGTGGTGGTGCATGCTGTAAAAACTCTCGTGTGCATACAACAGAAGAGAGGCTGGGATTCTGTGTGGCTGCTGGGATATTTCAGTTAGCTTATCATTATCATCACCATGTTACAAGGTGACAGAGCATGCAGACATTTACTGTTAGGATCTAAGCTTGAAAAAGAAGACTCATGCGAATGTTAGTGAAAATTTTTAGCATCACTTTATCAAGGTACTGCTTAGTCATGATCTAAGTCACCAAGCTTCTTCTAAAAGGGCAATCAAATGGGGCCATCGTTTCTTGAGTTTTGAAAATGATGTCAAGTGCTTTATTCTTATTAATGTGTCACAAAAGTACAAATGGCACACATGATCAAACTCAGGTCATCTGTAAGAGCAGTCCCTTCTCCTAACCACCGAGCAATGCACAGTTGGTGCTGTTTGGATGTGATTTGTTATAACTTGAACTCCTTCAGGAGTGTGACCCCCAGTGTCTTTCAAATGTATTGAGAATGGAGGATTAAACCAACTGTGTCATTAAGAGGGTGAGTCCTTCAAAATGTAGTTTGATTGGGTTATATAGTTGTCTTAGTGTTTTATTGATGTGAAAAGACACTATGATCATGAAAACTCATATAAAAAAAACCAGCATTTAATTGAGGCTTGCTTACAGTTTCAAAGGCTTAGGCAATTATCTCCATGGCAGGGAGTACAGGGGCATACAGGGAGACATAGTTTTGGAGAAGTAGTTGAAAGTTCTACATCTGGATCCTCAGGCAGCAGGAAGAGAGAAACTCTGGGTTTGGAATGGGCTCTTTGAAACCTAAAAACCCATCCCCAATGACACACTTCCTCCCACAAGGCCACACCTCCTAATCCTTTCAAATAGTGCCACTACCTGGTGACCAACTATTCAAATCTATGAGCCCATTGGGACCATTCTTATTCAAACCACCACAACAGTGGAGTTCCTGTGATTGAATTCTGATGGCTTTATAGCATGGGAGAGAGAGAGAGACCATCCACAAATACATAGTTGCTGCTGCTATGATATGGTGTAGCTCAGGGGCCCTGCCAAAGCCTATGTCATAAACCTCTTTTTTTCATAGAGTCTGGCTGTCCAAGAATTCACTTATAACAATGAAAGATTCTGAATACAAAACTGGCTGGCCATAGTTAGAAGAGGTGACAGTGTGGAATGAATTCCAAGTAGTTAGGAGGGAGAAACAGAAGAGGCGGGGGAGGGGGGAGTGCCTTCCTGTGAGTTCTGTTGCTCCTGTGAGTTCTGTTGCTCCTAGGGGGACTGGGAAAGCTAATTCTAATTCATACCAGAAGCAGAAGAAACAGCTGATGCTTCCTTTAACTATTTTAGACATATAAATCTCCTCAGTAGATTTGCAGTCACAAACTAAGCCTGTTGATCAATTATTTGCTTACATTACAGGACTTTTGAAGGCAAACTGCATGCTTATAAAATATTGAGAATTGGGAATATTACTGAAAAATATCTCAGTGTTTTATATAATTGCACAGTGGCTAATGAAGAAGCCACAGACACCAAAAGCTTCAGGTTGGTGAGGAAAGGTAAGGAATACATTGCTCTTCTTGGCAGCTTCTGCTAGCTCTCTCTTGGATGTCACCCAGTCTCCACAAGAAGCTTTCATGGGTGAAGAAACCCATCCAAGGTCACAAAGCAAGAGAAGGTGATGAATCTCTCAGCTTGTAGGTCTGGACCCACGTGCTTCCTTTTCATGGGGATTGCCTCCGTTTTCCCTCTAGTCACCTGAGCATCAATTATTTGGTCTGTGTGTTTATGAAGCAGAGGCACTCCAACCTGCTGCTTTGGTTATCTGATGCTATGTTTGTATTTCCTGGGCACTGCTCAACACCAGACATCCTTGTGACCAGTCTGTCCCGCCTCTGAAGCTTCTGCCCCCCCCCCCCCCCCCCCCCCCCCCCCCCCCCCCCCCCCCCCCCCCCCCCCCGCATTGTCCCTCTTAATTCACAAATGTCACCTGGAAAATGAGATCTCCCTATGTCTGGTGCATCAGGAATCCATAGATCTTTCAAAGATGGAGGACCCCCAGTGCATGGCTTCCGAGAGTTAGCTAATTAAATATACATAATTGCATACTTAATAGAATGGCTGGTTTTACTGGAAAAAAAATGATCTCTTAAAAAGTATACTACATAAGAGGGCAAAAGCTTCAGTCATGCTTATACTGTCTGGTGTGGAAATTCCCACATTGTTGGTATCCCTTCTTGAGAAGAAGCAAAGAAAGAAAAGAAAGAGAAAAAGGAAAAAAGGTAATAAGGTAATGTATATATAGATAGTCACTGTAGCATTGTGTAAACGTAAATACTTAGAATCATTATAAAGATGTATATTGTGAATCAGTAAAATGATTTTGATCTAATGAGGAAATAAAGTGTGATTACTATATAATCTCAGTTAAATAAAAATTTCAGGGTCAAAATTGATTGATTGATTTTTTTTTTATGTGTATGAGTGGTAAACATGTTCACCATACCTGAGCCTGGTGTCCACAGAAGCCAGACAAGGGAGTCAGATTACCTGGAACTAGAGTTACAGATGGTTGTGAGCCTCCATGGAGACGTTGGGAACCAAATCCAGGTCTTCTGCAAGAGTACCAAGTCCCCTTAACCACTGAGTCAGCTCTCCAGCCTCCCCAGAAAGTTTTGATACTGTAAGGCCATTACCACCTTCTTGGAGGGCTGCTAAGAACTATTTTATTCTTTACACTCTTCTGTGGTCTTTCATGTTTATCTATGGTGAATACAAACTGAATCAATCCAGGGGATAGATATACTTGTCTTGAAGGGCATATTGCCTAGAATTTTTCTAAAACCCTGATTGCTGTGTACAAGGCACTGGTAAGCACTCTGTGGAGTGTCTTTTTCATCAGCAACTGTAAATGAAGCAGGAGGTTCATTTATTATTTTCACTTTGCACATGAAGATATTAGGAATTAGAAGCCTCAAAGATCTGATGGAGCCAGTGGAAACCCAGACATCTCTGTCCAGTGCATCCCAGCTGAAGATCATGTACTGTTTGCTCATTCCACGAACTGTGATTCATGTTGAAGTCCTTTGTGTCCTACCCTAGCATCTTATTGCTTCAGAAATCGAAATTCTGCAGATACAGCTGGGCTGAGTGGCCATGCTTTTACTTCATGTCTCTGGGTATCCTTGCATACATTTATAAGTTGGAGTAGAAAGACCCCCACTGCAGACTACCAGAAGGAGTGTGGGGGACTAGGGGGAATATGGAAGCACATGGGGAGACAGATATTCAAATTGGAGTTCAGGGCAAAACTGACAAAGCGATAGTGGGAAATGCTAGCCACATTGCTTTGATTCATGATTTCCTATTTCTCTCTCCCTCCTCTCTTTTTCCCTGCAGAAATGGTTGATATCCCTGGCCATGTCTTCAGGAGAGGAATATTCGTGGCAGTTTTCATCTCTGTGGCAGTTGTCTGTGGGGTGATTTTGTGTGTCATTTATAAAGTCGACTTGGTTCTATTCTATAGACGCTTGGTGGAAAGAGACGAGACATTAACAGGTAACATACTGTGAAACTGGGGCATCCATCCTGTGTTACGTGTTCATGCCTAAATCCAATAAAGGAAACATGAATCTTCGTCTAATTTTGACGACACACTGCTAACAATCTGTGGGATAGGCTCCCAGTCTGGGGGCGGGGGTTACTCTGTAGGTAACATGGGTGCTGTGCAATCTTGTGCTTGTTTGTGATGTTCCAGATGTTTTTCTTTTGGTGTTTCGTGTTTGTGCACTGTCTTCTCCTAAACACCCGGTGCTATCGATCTGGTTGTGTTTATACACACACTGCTGCATACTTTATATCCCCCACACACTCAATAAAGTTGGTTTACATTGAATTTTCTGTCATCCTTGTTCATTATTTTAACTGGGAAAATGAGGCCGTATACTGTACCTGGCAGAACTCTGGAAGCCAAATAATCTCAATTTTAGTCTGCTAGGCCCACCAGCTATTAGCTGCTACTGTGTCTATTGGGATTTTTTTTATCAATATTTTGATGAGAAATGTGATGAGAAATCTCCAAATTTCAAGATAAACTTATGTCCTTAAAAGGTTAACCTAAATCATTGCTTTTGTTTATGTGTGCATGTGTTGTGAGTGTTTATAGGGGGAAAATAACAACCTTTATAGTGATAAAATTCAAAACTTATAAATATATAGCGGGAGACCTTCTCCCATCCTGTCCATGTCTCTGATTCCCATAATGTCCCCACCTACTACTACATCCAATAGACTCTTGACATGGATTCTTCCTTCATATTGCCTTCAAAAAACAGATCTTGGTTTAGTTTCCCTATGTCACTGTTTTCAGGTTTGCTTTATGATTTCTTGTGTGTCTGTCCATGTCATCTGCCTGCCTGCCTGCCTGTCTGTCTTTGAGGCAGAGTCTCATGTTGTCCCAGCTGGCCTCTCTATAATTGTGTTATCATCCTTCCTCCGTCTCCCAAGTGCAGAGGTTCCAGGTATGTGCTCTCACACTCAGTGGTCCTCAGTAACTCATGTCTGTGTAAGCGTTACTCTTTATTTGCCCTCCTTCCGATGGGTGTTGGGGAATCTTGCTTATTTTGCTTTTATGGGGATGCTGTGATGAATGAAGCCAACCATTCATGGATTCCTACTCATGCTGTATTGCCAGAGGGAAGTTTTTCTCAATGGAATTTTGGTAATGCACAGCGGGGCGGTGCAGCTGCTGCTTCCATAGGTGTTGCTGTTTTTTGCCGTCCACACTGCTATATTCCATGCCACCTACGAAAGACAACATAGACTTTTCCTCATAGCCTCACCCTCACACTTTTGGATTCCTGCCAGTTTGATAGATGAGGATTTGAGTGGTTTTAATTTGTATTTCATTTTGTGATGTTGCAAAACACAAGCAACCTTTCCATTCATTTAAAATTTATTTGTGTCTCCTTTTTCAACACATCCACTCTTGGTCCATTTTGTCACTGGGCTTTCTTTTTTTCCTTCTCATTTGCTGGCATTATTTATGTCTTAGGTGGGATTACCCTAGTATCTATAATGTGAAAGGTAAGTATCCCCATGTTGTCTTCTGTCTTTGGTGTGGTGTGCTCATGTGGGAGAGCCGAATATATCTTTATTTTTTTGGTACCTAATTTTGGGATTGTAAATACAAATGACTCCCCCATTAATCTCATGATACAAAGTGATTCTCACATCAGTTCTTCTGGGATTTTTAAAACTTATTTATTTAGTTTTTAGATCATAATAGAATTACATCATCATTTTTATGCTTACAGCTTTTAATATTAATAGCTAGCAGGCACAGGGAATTTGGCTGTCCGTCTGGGTGTATCAACTTGCTTTGAGAAGACATGAGGCAGAGAAGTGGAAAGTCTGTATGCGGTATTTTCTGAATGGTCTTTGCTCAGAAAGACTAATATTTGTATTTGATTGGACATTGAATACCCCTTTTCCTTTTGATTTTCTGTAATATTTTGACCCAGCTTACACATTCTTTTTTTAATTGCTCAAGCTCATTGGTTTTGTTTTATATGTGTGCTCCTGGGTGTATATATGTGCACCACATGTGTGCAAGAGCCTGCAGAAGTCAGAAGAGGGCATCAGATCCCTTGGAACTGGAGCTATAGATGGTTGTAAATCACCATTTGAGTGCTGGGACTTGAACCCGGGTTTTCACCAAGAACAATGAGAACTCACAGTCACTAAGCCATCTTTTCAGCCCCAGTAATTTTTTCAAATCATGCTCTTAACAGTTAGTGTGGCAGCACACAGAAACATTCAGGAACATGCTCTAAGCAGTTTTACTCAGAATGAAGTCCATGAAGAGGTACAGTCCATGGCAAGGATGGACATGAAGAAGTGTCTAGAAAATAAAACCTTTTAGCAGTTACAGCACTGTAGTTGCCAGAGTATGCTTGGTGTTGGTCTCTAAGGGAACAGACATGGAAAGAACCCATCAGCTGAAGAGTGTAAAACACAGCCAGTTGATGGACATAGTTTGTCCAGCTGACTCATTATTATTCTAAATAGCCATTTACATAATGATAGTTTCATTAATTAGAGATCAAAAATACTATTCCATTATTAGTGTCTTCCAGACATAATAGGACTGTCCCATATATGAGTTCACAGAGACTGCAACAGCACACATAAGACCTGCATGGGCTCAAAACAGGCAAAATCCCAGCACTGAGAAGGGGAAGTGGACACAAAGTCCCACCCCTAACCAAGGTGCTGCTTGCAATTGATACCTGCAGGGAAAAGGGAAATTTTCTAAACATTTATTTTAAGCATCTGCTTTGAGACTCTCACCATACAGAGGCGTGGGGGCGGGGGGGTTTAGTGATCAGGACACTGAGGCATATAAACACAGTAAGATATCTTTGATGAGCATATGATTCTGTAGTCTTTATCAGGTTTTCTCATCCATGTAATTCATGCATTTCTGCACAAACAATTGCTTTATATCAGCTATAGGTCCTGACTTAAATCGGTGGAGCAGGGTACTGTGAAAAGAGTTGAGAAAGCTTTTGCCACAAAGAGAAAGCATTGTTTTGAGAACTTGAACGTGAAGAAATAGGACTGGGCCACTGGGCATGGCATATAAGAGCATAGACCCAGAGCTGTTCCATCCCATCTCATTTAAATAAAAGACCCAACTATGTCTACCCTTCAATTCAGTCACTACAGCTCCAACTCCTTGGCCAACTACTAAGTTTTCATGTGATAGAGATAAACCATCCACTACCACCACCCTGCTCCCCCATCTATAACAACTGCATTATTGAAGACATCACTCAAAACTTCCCTCGTTCAGAAAGTATAACCATTGAGGTCCCTCCCCTTCCACTAGCCAGGCTATTTCGTCCATCTTTGTCTGCATGGTAGGATTTTTCATCTGTTAATGTGTCGCTTTCAATTCTTCTCAAGTTGTATTTGTTTCCTGTCTCCTCAACGGATTGCATGAAGCTAAAAGGATGTCACATACATATTTTGGTTACCCAGTGGGGAGAAGGAATTGTCTTTGTTAGCTAGGCAACTTGTTTTCTTCTTTGTTGTTCTCTCAGCCATCTAAATATTTCTCCTGTATCAAGAATTCGATGGGAGCACACTTGAGGATCACTGCCAAGCTTTCAATGGATCATAGGTTTTCCTTTTGACATGTGATACCCTAGGGGCGTGTGTGTGTGTGTGTGTGTGTGTGTGTGTGTGTGTGTGTGTGTATGTTTGTGTGTGTGTGTTTGAGGATCACTGCCAAGCTTTCAATGTATCATAGGTTTTCCTTTTGATATTTGATACCCTAGGGTGTGTGTGTATGTGTGTGTGTGTGTGTGTGTGTGTGTGTTAGACTTTGATATAATTACAATTTCAGACTCTCCCATATACTTCTCAATGCTCTCTTTTAAATCCATAGTCTCTTTTTTCATTGTTGCTAGCATCTTGTTCCAAGGATCCTTATGATTTCTTCCCCTCTCTGGGGTATGGTCTCTGTTTTATTTGTGTCTCTTGCTTTACTTTACTTTGTTTTGACTTTACTTTTTAAAGGTCTTTAAAGAGTAAAACCCAAGGTTGTGGTGTGATAGAGTTGAATGAAATGAACGATCCAAAGTATGACTTACTTCCCAATCCTGGAATGAGGGTCTTCTGGGCTCTGTAATATCTTATTGTGTTTATATCCCTCAATGTACTGATCACTATCCCCCACCCCTCTCCATGGTGAGAATCTCAAAGCCGATGCTTAGAATAGATGTTGAGAAAATTGTTTGCTTGGTGTGCATCTGAGATTTGAAAACCAATAATTTCACTCTCTTTATATATGACTTTGACACAAATTTTTACTTAAAATTTTTTTCTCAATCATGAATTAAGAGTCTACCTTATCTCCTAGATGGCAAAACATACGATGCTTTTGTGTCTTACCTGAAAGAGTGCCATCCCAAGAATGGAGAAGAATACACTTTTGCTGTGGAGACGTTACCCAGGGTCCTCGAGAAACAATTTGGGTATAAGTTATGCATATTTGAAAGAGATGTGGTGCCTGGTGGAGGTAAGAAAGGGAATCCTGGACAGACATTTAATGAAGAGAAGTTTTTAATGAGATGATTGATCATTTTGCCTTAAAAATGTACAAATGGCCAAAGTCTGTTAAGGCAGCAGAGGCCAGTCAGTCGATGGCTAGTTATTAGTTAATTGTGTCAGTCTGGTTAACCAACTTTTCACTGTCACAGTAAGAAATATTGAGAAAATAACTCTAGCCTTTCCTTTTGGACCCATTTCATTTTGCGTCGCAGGTCTGACACCCGAGGAAAGGCACAGGCATCTCCTTTTCTGAGACCCTGCCTCAATAAACAAAGTAGAAGGCAATGGAGGAAGGCACCCAGTGTCCAACTCTGACCTCCATGTACATGTACACACATACATGTGTGGCACATATGCATGTTAAAACATTAACTGATGATGATGATGATGAGGAAGACAGGAAGTAGAGGAAAGGAGGAGGAAGAAAAGAAGGAGAAGCAGGGGGGCCACAAGGAGGAGGAGGAAGAGGGAAGGAGAACACAAATGTCATTATGTCACTATCCATCCCATATTTATTGTGTGCCATGCCTATATTCAGTTAGACCAGGAAGAAAATAGGGCAGTAAATAAGAAATAGCTTTCCTTTCCCCTCACACCACAACTCGGAAAGGGAAAATGTCTTTAAGTGAGAAGTGTAGGCACAGGTTAGATGAGTGTAGTGGTAAACGACTTCTTCCTAGGTGAGACACAGGCCACACTGATGTGTTGGGATCTAGAAGGTACATCATTATTTCAAAAGTATGGGCCCATAGTTTTACTAGCATTTTATTGTATTTCTTTTGATTTCTTTTAAGTTCCTAAGGAAAGAAAAATACAAATTTTTGTTTGTTTTGTTTTTATGGTGAACTGTCATGAGGCTTGGTTGAACTCCCTGGGGTCTAGAGCAAGCTTTGGCATGTATGGTTAGCCATATTTACCTAGTCGCAGCCACATAAAGCCATTTGTGCATTGTCTCTGTGAGCTGTTGGGGTAGGAAAGAAGAATGTGCCTGAGTGTTTGCTTCCCACCCCTTTAGGGGGAAGACCTGCCTCTGGTCTAAAATAATGGGTGTTTTTGGCTAGCTTAGGTTATTGTTTTGTTTTCATCTGGGTTAAGTCTGCCTGTCACTCACCAGCTGTGTGATGCCAGCAAATTCTTCACTGTTCTGTGCTTTGGCAAAATGGGGGCCACAACAATACCTTTCTATGAGGTGGTTGTCATGGTGAAATGAATCAACATAGACAAAACTTTAAAGACGTTATAGTGTCAGTAAGTGCTAATCGGGTGCTCATAATTATTGCTATTTAGATGATTATTTTGCTGGGTGTCTATAACAGACCAAAAAATGGCTTATTTTAAAGAAAACCTTGTTAGTGCAGCCAAAAGATAAACATTGCTAAATAAGAGTGTGTAATAGTTTTTCCTCCATGCCCACCCTATAGTTGGCTGAACTGACGCCAATCTTGCTCTTCCAGCTGTTGTTGATGAGATCCATTCACTGATAGAGAAAAGCCGGAGGCTCATCATCATCCTCAGCCAAAGCTACCTGACTAACCAGACCAGGCTCGAACTTGAGAGTGGACTCCACGAAGCGCTGGTGGAGAGGAAGATTAAAATCATCTTAATCGAATTTACTCCAACCAACAGCTGCACTTTCCTGCCCCCATCACTGAAGCTCCTAAAGCCTTACAGAGTTCTGAAATGGAAAGCTGACAAGTCCCGTTCTTACAACTCGAGGTTCTGGAAGAATCTTCTTTACTTGATGCCGGCCAAGGCCATCAAGCCATGGAGAGAAGAATCTGAAGCATTGCCAGTTCTTTCGGAACCTTGATCTTCAGCAAAGCTGAGTGTCAAAAGGAACTGAGGCACCATTTGAGGCCGAGCATGTGCCTTTTCACAACAGGGGCTGTTGTGCGAAATACTGAATTCCATGATCATCCCTCCCATTTGCAGTTAGAAGATAAGATTTGTCATTGGGTCATAATAGATGAAACAAAACCTAAGCTCCCAGAAGACCGTGGGATTCGCACGAAATCATTCTATTATTCTTCCTTCCCTTAGAGCAGTGGTTCTCAACCTGTGGGTCCAGAACCCTTTAGCAAACCTCTGTCTTCAAAACTATTTACATTAATGATTCATAGCAGTGGCAAATTTTCAGTTATGAAGTAGCAATGAAAATAATTTTATGGTTCGAGGTCGCCACAGATGAGGAACTATATTAAAAGGTCGCAGCTTTAGGAAGGTTAAGAACCACTGCCCTAGAGCTACCTACACACTTAACCCCATATTCAGCAAGGGTGGGGGCTAGACACCCAAACTGATTTATGCCCAGAACAAGGCATTTTCTATGAACCAGCCTTTATTACAGCTCAAGGCTACACAGCTCCCTACCAGGCTTGGGAGGTGGATGGAGGTGGTGGGAGAGCCGTATGCAGACACAGGTAAACAAGGTGGACTTGGCTTCAGGACAAGTTTAGTGTTTCAAGGTATTTCTTAGAAGTTCAGTGAGACATCAGTCAAGATGTCTCACTTCTTATTTAGACCTTTTATGAAACCTTTGAAAGGGGAACCTTAAACACCTTTTTATCATCCGTGTCAGACAAAGATTTCAATTCAGGGAACTCAGTGGCACGTCCAACGTTAGTGGCCTAAGGCTTCTGTTGACTTTATGTAGGTATTCATATATAGGATCATATAAGCTATGAAGCTGCAACAAACAAACAATAATTGCTTGTTGTTTATCAGCTCTTTCAAGTGGGGGGCAGTTCAGCATGGTGGGTGAGAGTGTGACCTGGCCTTTTCAGCCAAACTTGAGTGACAATCTTGGGTTTTCTGCTTCTTTTATGAGTTCTGGACTTTTACCCAACTTCTCATACTGGAGTTTCCTCATCTCTAAAATCAGAGTTGAAAGTAAGTATTCCTACTTCACAAGGGGACTACCAAGCACTCTGTAAATGTGGCTCTTCTTGTTGGTGGCAGTAACTGCCCTCATTCATGCTTGGCTTCAAGATTTAACATTGGAGCAACTGGGAGCCAGAGTTAAGGTGGGAAAACAGGACTGAGGAGGGAAGCTTCTTTGGCTTCAGTAGCAAATTGAGAGAAGGGCACAGGAGAAGCATAGCAAAACAACACACACACACACACACACACACAC